ATCGTTGTACAACCAAAGGTGGGATGCATTCATAAGAAATATAAGTCACGTGGCATCCAACTGATAAGAAATTTTTTAAATGAAAGAATGCGTCAAAAAAATATGTATGAGGTTTTTTCACTAGTGAAATTCAACAGAAACACATTTGAAGTCGGACATCCATCAGTTGGTTTTTCTATTTTAGTAATTTTTTGTATTTGCATTTTTTTTTTGTATTTTGTACAGTAAGCTTCCCTAATTTTCACAAGACAACGTGTCATGCCTGTTAAATGCTTGAAAGACGGAAGATAGCAGCGATAAACTACAGCCGCATATTTTAACATGTATATATGATATTATACAGTGCTAATACTACCTATTTGTAACAAGTTTTACACATTGCGAAATAATTTTAATAAAATTATTAATATTGAATGGCATAAAAACTGTAGGAAGGACAATTCGGAAGAAACAGTTTGGAAAAGCAGCTAGAAACAGCGTCATTTAAAGAAAGACTTAATATCTTTGCACACAGCGTTTCTAACTATTCATTACACCTTGGAAGCTCACACCATACTGTTCGTTCTCCTTCCTCTCGGTCTTCACTAGCTACCAACACACATACAGCACATACCAACCTTGGTTGCTACACTCGTCGACATTCATTACGTATCAACCTAATAAATTATTATATAATATTTAATTATATAATATTGTACAATTAAATATTATATAATACAATTACTACTTAATAATTTAAATTAAAAGAAATTAGTTCAATAATTTCATACATTTTTGACCATTTTTGACCACTGTTTTCGTATTCTGCTCGCACGAGTACGCTCAGGATTTCGAAACCATTTCGAATTCTGAGAGCAACTCTCCAACAGTAGTATAATATTGTGGACAGGTTTCGACACGTTGATGCTCTCGGACAATAATTCTCAGAACAGTATCCATTTGCGAGAAATACTCTCGAGTGCAACTCGCGACAGTTTTACTCTTCAGTGGACACCTAGCTTAATGCAAGTTTGTGAAGAATAATTAAATCGCGTCTCTGTAACTCAGGTACTGCTCATGTACTAAAGAATGGTAATTATTAAACTATATCTTGTACGACTACGATACAAGTCATGGTAATTGGACTTGTATTCAAGTTCAAATAATCATGATCACGTATTAACCGAACACCAAAGAAATCAAACCATGCAACTTACCAATCGTTGAAGACAGAATTAAGTAAATGAAGATTTGGTTGCGTCGGATTTCATTATGTTCGATGTCTCCGAACTTCATGAATACATATGCTGATACTTTTTCTTCTCAAATTCTCTTCAGCAATATGCATTCGGACACTGCTCATAGTCTCACATTTTACATATTTATCACATTTACTTTCAACTTTTTCAACATTCTTTAAATATTGGGTAATGTTTAAACAATTACAATATTCAGTAATGTTATTTAAAATTTCACTTCTAAAATTTAATCGACGCGTACGCGACGAAAATTCAATTTGTAGTGAGCTCTTGTCTACGTATCGATCAACATTAAATCCGATCTGTTGATAGTTAAATAACATTTTTTACAAATGTATTAGTCAGTCGATTACAACAAATGATTAATTAAAAATTTTAAACAGTACTTAGAATTATTACAAAAGAGAATTTGTTGTTTAATTGTTACAAATAAATTATTGGAAATATTAGATAATGTTTAAACAATTAGCATAACGTTAAATGTTATTTAAAAATTTACTCTTAAATTTTGGTCGATGTGTAAACATGTGAAAGTTTAATTAGTAATTAGTCTCCGTATTGCTCAAGCTTACTCTGTTTCGGTCGCACTGAATACGGAATGGTTGATGTTTTTTGTTAATATTTCGAAAAACAGTTTGTCTATTATATTAATCTACAATTTAATGCTTTTTATATTTCTATCGCAAAGTTACACTTTCATGAATACGTCATAATATTAAATATAATAATTTTTTAAGTTTTTATCGGCTAAAACTAAATTTACACTTTCATGATATTAATTTTTAAGTTATAAGTGCATTGATACATTAAATTGATGGGTTAAATAAAAATTTACTTACAGAAAAGTTGTGTACTCAAAAATCGAGTTGAGCGGTGATCGTCGCTTTAGTATAATCGCGTAACATATAACAATTTTCGTTCGTTTATTGTTTCAAAGATTAAAAATTATATGTACTAAGTAATTATTTTTTACATTATTAAATAAGATAATTTAATTGTTATTAGTGAATTATTCAAGCTATGAAATAATTCTTGGGAATTCCTTCATAGTCATTGATTCAATTGTTATAAGTAAACAATTAAAATTTTTAAACGATATACAAAAGTATGCAATTTTTCAGTGCAATTTACAGTTTGAATAATTCATTTGAAACCATTAGATTATTTTATTTCTATAATATTTCTAAACATTATTTAATAATTTTTACAACTCTTGTATTACTATTAAACAATTAAATTAATTATTTCATTGAATAATTCAAAGTTATTTCCCTCAAGATTGTTATAAATCATTAGTTATAAATTTTAAATAACACTTACAAACACTACAAAAGAGACACAATCACCGAATTGAATTTATTATTGTGCGTAATGATAAAAGAAATACGAGTTGAAGGGACACAGGCAAGTTTCGTTTTTCCTAACGAAAGCGTAATTGCCAAATCTTTTGTTTGTATCTGTGTACCAGTCATGCATAAATACATGTGTTATCACTATCACAAATGATATTATTTTGAAAGTTGTAATAGAACAGCATTACGAAACATTCCTCATATTAATAAACATTATTATTAGCAAATGTTCTTTAAAACTTTACATTTTGCCCTTTCCATTTTATTGAACTGTAAGCATTAGGATTGAATGACAAAAATTCTAAGCATCCTGATCCAAAATAATCCAATTTCATTGTAATAAGAGTCCAATAGAAACTTAAAGTACATTAAAAATTTTAATCAAGAATGTTCTGAAAATAGTGGTACTTTTGAAAATAAGTACAATAACGTAGCATGTTTTTACCAAGCTGGTAAAAAAGGGGCATAGACACGTATTTTTTAATATCACAAGAAAATCTTAAATCTATTCCAATTTATTTGTATTACTTTATTTACATTACCAATTGTTTATTCCTGTCTTGCAGTGATATATATATATATAAGTAGTAAGTAAGTATATATAAGTAATAAGTATATAAGTAAATATTTATAAGTAGCGTAATAATATTGAACGTTCTTGCGCTCTGAATCATGGCCTAGTTTATATTTTCGTCGGACATTTTTCAAATGTTTACTAGATCAAAGCTCAAAAGCATCGCGTAGGTTAAGAGGGTCACCTGTTTGTCATGCTTATTATCCTCTAGAAACGGTTGGCATGGATCGTTTTATCGATGACTTATTTCACCAATTTTAGATGAGCTACAATAGAGCTACAATTAAACGGGCCATTCTTTGAATCTGATTGATTAAAGCGAACTAACCCGTCGAGCAAACGGCTCGCGGGCGGCCATGCAGCAGAAACGCTGCAATTTTTACCGAATAAACGTTAAATCCTCAATGAATCGGAATCTTTACAATTTCCGTGACTGAAAGAAACATTACAATTTCTAACGAAGAAAAATCTCTCTAATTTCAACGAGTAATTAATACGTAAAAAATTTGCGTAGTTTTCAACGAACGTAATGTAGTCTCATGTACAAGTAAAATTCATCACTCGGTTAGACAAGACAAGTTTGCTGTTCATTATTGTGGAGTTAAAATACATCTTTGGGTACTCAGACGCCACACTTGATGGTTTGTACAGCCACGATTAAGTCACAACGAAAAGAATACGTGTAATGGATAAAGGGCGAAGAATTCGAGGCGTGAGATATTTCCTTCTCAAAAGTCTTTATTCGATTGTCGGACTGTCTTCCGATCAGCCATTTCCCAGGCACAAACCTCTTCTCGAAACATAAACAATCGGTTCCTATGGCGATCATCCCAATGATCACCTGCATACGAAATAACTCGTAGTTAGTTAAACGTGAATCACCCACGTGATAAAAAAATTTATTTTATGTTGCATGTTGCTACTAATGGTACGAGTCTTCATTTTAGGGGAACGTGAGGCAAATGAAATTTCTGATGTACTCTTTAACAATCAAGTTTTAATCTCTGTAACTAAATTTTATTGCTAATTATGTCATCACTTTCTTGCTCTCCCCAGGTAGATTATATTTCTATTTTCTTAAGCAGCAGGTGTAAGAAACATGTACATAGGAATTATTGAAACTACTGTTACAAAAATCTTTTACGATAAAATAATTTTCTTAAAATTTTGACATTTTAATTAATTTAATTACTTTTATGTATTTCTGTGTATTCATTTTTATTACTGGACTAACTGAAGTCACGTGTATATGTCGCGTGCCATGAAACAATTAATATAATTCCCAGTTGAAATGAATGTGAAATGAATGCAAGCATTTCTTTAGATAGAAATTGCGCAAAGGCACACGTTGTGGAAACTTACAAAGTTGTCACACAAGATGGATATGTCTTGCAAAAGACCTCTGTCTATTAATAAAACACCACTAATAAAACATCCTCATGGACTACTAGATTGCTCGGTTGCGTGGCTTGCGCCTGGCTCCAAAAGTTGGGTATTGCCAAACCGCTTGTTCTTTTTCTTTCTCAGAAAGAGTTCGGTAAAAGAAAATCTAAAATTCGTATTTGTCTATATATAATATTAATTATTAACATTAATTATTAATTGGACATTTTTTATTTTGAAATATATGTTATACCTGTCCACTGCTATTGATAAATATGATCCCACTACAGTAAATTCTTCTGCTTCTTCTTTTCTTTTTCAAATTAACATTGCTTCTCGATAAAAAAAAAGGACAGAATAATTTCTCTCAAATTTTAAGCTATACATTAGCAGACCAGGGATATGATGTATGGCTGGGCAATGTGCACTCGCGGAAGCACTTGAACCTGACCACTTTAGACCCAGAATTTTGGATGTTCAGGTACAGTCGTAATAATTATTCATCAAGATTTATCACCAATGATCAAGTCATTGTATTTTGACCGTAATCTATTCGTTTTTACAGTTGGCATCAAATTGGAGTATATGATCTCCCAACGATAATCGATCGCATTATGGAGCAAACAAAGTAGAAAAAGATCTCAATTGTAACACATATCCAAGGTCGTAACCTGATTTTTATGGCTAGCGAACGACAAAGGTATCAAGAGAACGTTATCGCTCTTTTTGCTTTATCCCCATTAGTCTTCGCATTTACAACAGGAAATTCTCTTATCTATATGATGTGCCTTGCAGCCGACGAACATTACAACGTATGCGTCAGAAGGTAATTTTAATATTACTAATAATTATTATTGATTACGAAAATTTTCAGTTTTATGATATTATTAATCTCCAAAACATGTAATTAAATGAAACTACTAATTTTAACATCAGGCGAAACAATAATGAATAACATTTTTGCATCTTTTGAGCATTCTACAGTTTATGATGTTTAATTTACTTGGCATATATCAATTTAAGACATCCAGCATACTTCAACGCTTGTAATATGTACTAAACAGTCATTTCAGCTGCCAGTGTATGAAGGCACTTATAATTTATTATTTGGATTCGACGGAAATATTAATACAGTAATCAGACGCAAATAATAGTACATAATTAATTAGTATTTGCATGTATTAATATTCAATTGGACTTGATTTGAGTTGATAGAGTACGTTGCATTTTCTGTCACAATCCTGCTGGTGCATCAATTAGACAATTTGCACATCATGGATAATTGTTTAAATTAGGTTAATAATCAGTAATCAAACATGCGAGTAAGTAGAAATTTATCTCACGATACGTTTTCTTTCTTCATTGGCAAGTTTCGAAAATTTGTCTATTTCCCTGCCGGCAATATAAGAAATTATGGCAAGACACATCCTCCCGATTATAATCTCGGCAATGTCTCGTTACCAGTGTATATGTATTATGGCACCAATGATGTATGTAGTTTTCGATGTTTACATTTGTATATCGTTGATTGCAAGCCTTCAATTGATCTCAAATTTTTCAATCTCTTCTCCCCTGTCAATGGTCTTACAGGGTGCTCAGTAGTTGTACGAAACACTACCCAATGATCAAAAATTTTCGACACAATTCGACATTTTCGCCCACTTTGGTTTTCTGTGGGAAAACAATGCAACTTTGGTAGACAATAAATTCTGAATTTCATGAAACAGCACAGAAAGTAAATAATATTATTGCTTTGTGTGCAAGTAATTTACGATTGGTGATCGCTTTTGTGTTCTTTATTACAATGTTATTATTTGTGTTAGCAAAGTTAGCTGTTTGTGTTAGTAAGTGAACATGAGTTTCCTTTTGTCGCTTTTTCATTACAACTGACTACTCAATACATCGTAAATATATACATACGTTTCCAATATTTTCCACAGGAATTTTTATTAATATCTCTCGAAGAATAATAAATGTTCGAAACTAGAATTTTGTACTTAACGTACTCTCCTATCGCCTCTTTAATAACTTAAATATTCCTATCGATCCGCCACTGAAGAGTTTCAGGACTAGAAGTAAGCCATCTTGAAAATATTTTTGGAGTGTATTTTTCATTCGTACAGCTTCTTCTGTCCGAGATGGCTCGAACTTTGTTGTAAATGTATACCTGCAGCATGTTTTACTTCTTCTATATACAGATCTACAGGTAAAAATCACTGAAATATCTGATCGATCGTGGCGATAAACAATAACTTTTCGATACTTCCATTATAAGACTTTTTAATATATTTTGTAGCAAATTCTCTCTTTTTCATTCGAAACAATCACTCGAAGATTTCACACAAATTTTTCTGACAAATAAATAGGAAATCAAATTTTTTAGGCAACATATTGTTGTTTAAAATATGTAATACACGATATTTCACGAAAATATCACCTAAATATCTTCTTTGTTACTAATAGTACGAAAATCGTTTCCTGGTGTAACTTTAACTGGTTGAAGAGAATAGGATGGAAGAATTATTTCCTTTAAATATCATTTTTAATTATTTTTTTTAAAGGTCATTGGCATTTTTTGTGCAGGAAACGTGTATTTTTTTCTATTCTATCAACTCATGAAAAAATGCATTCCGATATATCGGAATCCACGGGAAGGATTGTCGCGTCTTCGTTACATCGTGATTTGCTAAGTTGTGTGCTACTGTTGCATTTCTTTTATTTTTTCTTGCTTGCGGTTGATTTATTTAGAGTGTTTGGATTTGAATTTTAACCTTTAAACTTACGTAAAAATGGTAAGATACTAATAACGCCCAGCCGTGATAAAGCGTCTGCCACTTCGTTATCAGATACCGAAATGTAAGTAATTTTGGTTGAAAATTGTCCAATATAGTCTAATTGTCGTAATTGCCTTGGTAAGGCTTTTTCTGATTTTTGAAGAAATGCAAATGTTAATGGTTTATAATCTGTATCGTAAAGTCTCGTCCTCCTAAAAAATATTTAAAATATTTTATTACTTTATAAATTACTGTAAGTTCTCTACCATAAGTACTATATTTAATTTCTTGTGATGACAATTTTTTGGAAAAGAAAGCTATTGGTTCCCACAAATCATTTACTTTTTGTTGAAGTACAGCCCCACAAGCTAAACTTGAAGCATCAGTAATAAGAAGTAATGGACTATTAATTTTGGGATGAACCAATAGTGCTGCACTCGCCAACGAGTCTTTACATTTTTTAAATGTAGTATCAGCTTCCTCTGTCCAAACAATTACTCTTTTATCATTTTTCTTAGCGCCTTTAAGAAAAACATTCAAAGGAGCCTGAATATCAGCAACATTTTTAATCAATCTTCGATAAAAATTGATCATTCCTAGAAAACGTCTTAACTCAGCAATTGTTTTTGGTTTATTATAATTTAAAAAAGCATTAACTTTTTCTGGTACAGGCTTGGCTCCCTTTTAATTTTACAAAATTTTCGTTATTCTTACTGATTTCTTCTATGAATTTCTTGTCTGTGGCTATTTAAAAACGACAACTGATAACATAAACATCGACGATTAATGATTAACTACAGACTTTGTTAAATACTCGAATCTGTTAACATAATACTTTTCCATCAAAGTGGTTTAGGATTCAATGTGTTCTGCAATATTGTGGACCAGTAAATAAATGTGGAATCATTGTGATAATCTGATTAGTAAATAACACACAAATTGAATATCAATGAATATTATTGCAAAAAGCTGTGACATGTAAGAAACGACTAATTACAATGGATAATTTTGGAAAATGTAGTTTTCTCTTCGAAAAAATTCTTGTATTTATAGAAAACTAGATCTAAACGCAACATAAGTAGAAGATTTAAAACCAAACACAGGAAGGTAAGAAAAATTAATGCATTATGTAACACGTTTACTGTTAGTCGAAGTAAATGAAATTATACCTTCAATAAATTTATTTGTACCTAACGTATTCACCGGAATCAACGAGAACTAAAAACTATATTCAGTGTACGTTAAATAGTTTCCTCTAAAATGGACAACTAAACCTCGTTTAGAATACTTGAATATAAAAATTAAATGTATGATTTTCTCCAGATAACATAATCCATGGCAGTTTAAACTGTATTTTCGATGCACTAAATTTAATATATTGAATTATATTAAAATCTTAAGAAAATCATTTCAATTTCACACATATATTACAAAATTTCTCTCTAATAGTATAATAAGTGAAACAAATTCCATTTTAAATATATGAGAAAGCTCAAACATACCCTATCCTAACATCACATGGAAATTATTTAGCGTAGCTGAAGCGATCGAAAGGTCTAGTGTTCTTAATAAATTTACTGAAACAGCACAACAATAAAGGACATTATTATACTTCATATAATACTATATAAATGTCAATAAGAATTAAATTTTGGTTTCTTTAAACATATCTAGACCACCGATTAATTTCATTGTGAATGTGACACACCAAACTGTTATTAATATGAATTTAACATAATGAATACAAAGCAGAAAGTTTTCGTACCTTAGCAGTTGAAAATACTGATAGTATGTAGCAATGTACGCGGCGTCGTAATTGTGACATGCTGTAAAAATTATATTAATGATTTAACCCGCGCAAGGAACAATTTTCCTTCAGTTCACTATACAAACCAAACGCTTCAATAATTTGTGGGAATTGGAACTAGTCAAAGAAGCAATCATCTCACAAAACACATGAATTGACTGCAATAGCTTATACAGGGTGTTTCGTAACTTGTGGGACCCACTTCGGGAGCTCATTGTACGCCTAAAAGTAATGAGGAAATGTCATATAAATATATGTCCTATCTGTCTTCGTTTATGAGATATAATGAATTTTCTGTTTTAATTACTTTTACATAAGATGCTCAAAATGACCACCTTGCGTTTGAAGACAAGCCTGCACGCGTCTTGTCATTGATCTGGTTACTCTCTCTACCATTCCTGGTGTTTCTCGAATTTGTCGGAAGCCTTGCTCTATTCTATTTCGTAGTATTTCAGCATGTTCAATCGATGTTGCGTATACAATAGATTAAGTGTCCCTACAAATGAAAATCTAATGGATTCAAATCCGGAGAACGAGCAGGCTATGCAATAGGACCTCCACGACCAATCCATTTATTTGCAAAGTGTGCGTAAACTGAATGCGAAATCTAATATCGACTGGAACTTCCTCTAATATTTCGTGTAAACTCGTACTCAAAAAATCAACGTACTTTATGCCAGTTAGTTTCCCATCAAGAAAAAAAGGTCCAATTAAATATTTACTAATTATTCCTCCCCATACGTTTAAAACTGGTGTTTATGTTTTGAATGCACAATAACGTGTGTGGTTTTTTCATCCCAGTTATGATTACTATGAAAATTGAATATACCATCCCTGGTAAAACTAGCTTACTAGAGATTCCTCTGTTTATAAAATTCATTATATCTCATAAACGGAGACACATGGGACATATATTTATATGACTTCTTTTCGTTATTTTTAGGCATATTTACAATCAGCTCCCGAAGTGGATCCCACAAGTTACGAAACACCCCGTATATAGATGATTTGCTACAAGAAGTAATAAACATATGTTATAGAATCTAGCTGAAAACAAAGTCTCTCTCTCTACATCAGAAATATTTTTGAAGAATTCTTCAAGAGTCATAGAACTAATGCCATATCTTCTTGGACATTTATGAAAATCCTACATATAACACACTCATATTTTGTCATGAAGCTCCTGTTCTTCGACCTGACGAGTAATTTATTATAGTTAATAGGTAATATCTACTGACTTTACATCTCTATACGTAACATTCTCCTTAAGAAATTTAAATTGAAAGAACAATTATGGAAATCATGATATCCTTGACTACTTCGGTTCCTTCAAAGAAACCGAACTAACAAAGAAAACAAAATGTTATATAA